TCTCTCTCTCTCTCTCTTTATATATATATATTGGCCGGGTGTGGCCTAGGAACTAGAGTACCGCACTATACAGTTAGCACCCAGTGGCACAGCGACATGTTTGCGGACTTACTACGCTAAAAACCGGGTTAAGATACCCGTGGTGGGCAGAGCACAGATAGCTCATAGTGTAGCTTTGTGCTTATCTTCAAACAAACAATCTGTACAGTTAAAGGCCCAAGGTTCACTTCTCGTTCCTGTGAAATTGCTTTCCGCAATTTATTGCCGTTGGTGTGTTGTAAGAGTGACTGTCACGTTCCACTATGCGATTAGTTTGTTTGTTTGTTTAATTATGCACAAAGCTACACTATGAGCTATCTGTGCTCTGCCCACCACGGGTATCTTAACCCGGTTTTTAGCGTAGTAAGTCCGCAAACATGTCGCTGTGCCACTGGGTGCTAACTGTATAGTGCGGTACTCTAGTTCCTAGGCCACACCCGGCCAATATATATATATAAAGAGAGAGAGAGAGAGGTCAACTTTTATGTTTTACATCCATTATTCTCCCGACGAAGAATGGTCAAGAATTGGAAAGCGATCGGGTTTTGGGTATTTTTGAAATTCATTGTATCTTTTATGTGTGTTCCTGTGTGATAACTCTTTTAATCAGAATATGACCATACCAGTAATTCATACCTCGAGGCGATGACTAAAATAAAGTTTAATAGATTTGTTTGTACCAGAAATCCACACTTTAAGGTGGTGATCAATTGAGAGTCTAATACATTTTTCCATATTATTATAATTGTGTGCAGTAGTGTACAGAACACATTATAAGGCACATCATCGACAAAAAGAAAGGACACTTTTTAAGCATCTTAAGGCAAGACGTTTTTTTTTGGGGGGGGAGATGTTTTTTTTTTTAATTTCGCGCAAAGCTACACAAGGGCTATCTGCGCCAGTCGTCCCTAATTTAGCAGTGTTTTAGAGGGAAGGCAGCTAGTCATCACCACCCACCAACAACTCTTGGACTACTCTTTTACCAACGAATAGCGGGATGGACTGTCACATTATAACGTCCCCACGGCTGAAAGGGCGAACATGTTAGGTGTGACGGGGATGGAACCCGCGACCCGCATATTTCGAGTCGAGCTCCCTAACCACCTGGCCATGCCGGGCCAGGGGTGGGAGGTGTTAGAGGTGAGTATGCGGACTGTGGGTTGCCTCTTGTACACATAGGGTAGAAAGCCATGAGAAGCACGCAAATCCTCTTTTATTTCTATTCAATTGGTCTTACTTACAATCGGTGAATTCTTACTTATTAACACTTAATATCGTATCACAAGACCTAAACATCTCTGTGTTCCATTCATTTTAAAGCTGAAATATGTTTCTTCTCAATAACTCACAGCAAGAAAGGTTATGAAATCAGGCGTATCTTTCTAAGTGCAAGCGGTTGAGCCCAACCAGCTCGTCAATGGTTGATATATTACTAGTTATGTTTCACGTGGTGTCAAGATAAAATCTGATTTGACATTTTCATACCGATTTATAATGTTTTCAAACAGAACTTCGATAACACATTGGATAGATTGTTTTTGTATTCCTGCACTTTTATGTAGAAACAATTATGAATAGTTTTATGTGTATTGCTTTTACACGTTAAATTAGCTCACATTCCTTTAAAAGGAGCTGAATCACGTTTTCCTAGAGTTGTAGTGTAATATAGTAGAGTTTGATCAACTCCGAACAGAAACAGGACAGTACGATTAAATTAAACATAACAATGTTGTCTGACAATCAATGAAAAACGCTTTAAAAATATTATTCGACATTTTCACACAATAACCAGTACTGTGTTGTACGTACAAAGATGATGAAAAATGCAAATCATATAAACAATAAGAATGATTCAGATAATAACCAGCACACACATTACACAGATACACAAGAAGTTAGTTACTAACAACGTAATGTTCAGAATTTGCCAAGAATCTGTACTCTTTTTTTTTTCATTACGGCTGACAAAATCAGCTGACTGCATAGAAAAAGACTAAATAACAGAAATGTTTGTGAGCAAAATATTGAGGAGGGAGGGTGCACCCCCACCTCCTGATTCCAACGACTATTGTTTCCGTATTACACACGCATTCAACCCCACTTTCGTTTAATTTCAGCTAAGCCTATTTTTGTTACAGACCTCATTAGTCAGTATAGCCCCCATTCGCAGCATTCAGTCGGCAAAATTGAAAATCCTACCAATCTCGAGTTGTTTGTCTCTTAGCTAGTTTAGTTAAACCCAATTTTTGAAGAATGTATCTGAGTTCCTTTGCCAAATTCTACGGAAATTAGTTCGACCTGTACCTCTCAACAACATGTGACACCAGACAGGCAGGCGGACAACTATGCTTTACATAAAGAGAGATTTGAAGTTACTTATTCACACATACTACGAGAAAAAAAAACTGTTGGCACTTTAACAGTATTAAGTGTATTTTAGGACGAGGGTTATAAATCTAGCGCTTTATTCAAATAGCCTTTAATCCAGGAAATATACACATTTTTAGTTAGCCTTTGATGGCGCAGTTCTAATACACGCCCTTTCTTTTGTAAGTAATTTTAAACTCCTGAAAAAAAACACAAAAAAATTTGAACACGACGTAAGTAAAACATATTGAGAAGAGTAAAGTGTGCCAATTTCCTGTACCTGAAGATACTACTTATCAACAAACTGTATAAATTTAACTGAATAAGCAACAGAAAGTGACTGAAGCCATGTTTCAAAGCTTCAGAATCTGTACGCTAAAAAACGTTAATTAGTTTACTTGAACTGACTAAAAGCGTAAACCTAACTAAAGAACGTTAGCATAAAAGTAAAACAAAATGTAAAAACTCATTCGTTGTTTCATTTTTTTCTCGTTGTAGTTTGAAATAGTGCTTCTAACTTAATTTTTTATCGGGGAATTAATGCATTAATTACTTGTGTCTTTTTTTCGGTATTGATATAAAGATATCCCTTAATTTGTTTTTTCTCCGGCAGTAAGTTTGAAGGCATATAACGCTAAAAACCGTGTTTTGATACCCATAGTGGACACAGCAAAGATAGCGCAATGGGTAGTTTTGCGCTTAAATTCATACCAGTAAATATGTAAAAACTTTAATATCTATAGTTTTGTAGTCCTTTTTACCTTACCTAGGCCCGGCTTGGCCAGGTGGTTAGAGCGCTCGACTCGCAAGCTGAGGGTCGCGGGTTCGAATTCCCGTCCCGCCAAACATGCTCGCCGTGGGGGCGTTATAATATGACGGTCAATCCCACTATTCGTTGGTAAAAGAGTAGCCCAAGAGTTGGCGGTGGGTGGTGATGACTAGCTGCCTTCCCTCTAGTCTTACACTGCTAAATTAGGGACGGCTAGCGCAGATAGTCCTCGTGTAGCTTTGCGCGAAATTCAAACAAACAAACAATCAGACACTCACTCTTTGACTAGTGTGTTCAGCTTGTGTTTTGAGAGAAGTCGCTAAACGGCTTATACTTTGGGTATACATTTACTTCAAAGCTTTTCTCATGAACTCAATCAGAAACATTTGTTTTATTTGGTAAAACTTTGTGTAATACCACAAAAATGTCTCGATGTTCCATAGATCTTACTAATCTTGGTACCCTCCTTCAGCTATAACTTATAAACATCATCAACCCATAGACCTTACTAATCTTGGTACCCTCCTTCAGCAATAACTTATAAAC